GTGAGGGGGTCGATTTGGCACTTTTTCAGGTTTGTCTTAAGACTATTCTTATACCTTTTCTATTGCCTACCAATGTTACATTTACCATTCATTTGGTGACTGTAAAGTAGCTGCTTTGGCAGTCTACTGTCGTCCATGCAGGTAACATGGCCAGTCCAACATAGTTGTTCATGGATAATGGTAGCCACAATGCTCCTATAGTTGGTATATCAACAAGAATACTGTAATTTGTTCTCTTGTCTTCCCAGCGAACTCGGAGGATAGATTGTAGATCTACGTTGGTGAAAGTTTTCAAGTACCTTGATGTGTTTCCTGGATATGACCCATGTCTCGCTGCCATATAGCAGGGTGGGGATGGGCCATTGCTCGATATACGTGTAACTTGTAGATAATTTCAGCTCTCTTCAGTTGAAGACATGGGTATGGAGTCTGCCAAAGGCTTGAGATGCACATCTGATCCGATGTTGAATCTCTTCATTGATGTCGGCTGTGGTGAACAGGTGGGAACCAAAATACTGAAAGTGGGTAACATTAGAGAGGGTAGTGCCATTTACCTGGGTGGATGATAGGGGGTGTGGCTGAACCAGTGTAGTAACATAGTACACTCCAACTTATTTCACCTGATGATTAAACACTATAATGTTACTTGGGGGGATCAAGTTAGTTTAGGTTATGTTATTGTATTATGTTAGCTTTGTATTAAGGAGTTTAACCATGAGGTGAAATATGTTAGTGTGCTTAATTCTACTCCTATTTTACAGTATTCTCACTTTAACCTGAAAGTCATTAAATCTAATTTTTCACCAAACACATCTTTATTCTCTGTATGGAAGACCACCGACACCTTTAACAAATTCCACAAATCCTCCTAATTAACTCTATACACTTATTATACAAAGATGTGAATATAATACCTGGCACATGCCTGTAGGGAACCAGTGTAGATTCAGGTCTTGTTTCTTTCTGCTTCTGATAATTTCCATTTTTCCTACCACCATTATACCTGTAATTACTCTTGATTTTTATGGTCCAGTCATCTGCCTTACAAACCTTTTCCTGTAGCAGACTGTATTAGTTGTAACATTGGCTCTGACTTACCAGATGTGTTGGTATGATGCTTCCCATCCACAACAAGGCCTCAATATTTCCATGTCCTTATCCCTATTGAAACTGGGTCTCATGCAGTAGGTGAGACAGCCCATTATGGGGAATGAGGATATTAAGCATTGAAGATTAAGCCTTTCATACACAAGGAGACAGAGTGGTTGGAACTACTCTCTACTGTCTTTCATTTCTCATCTTTAAAGTTAGAGAACCATTTTGCAGCTGGATTGACTCGGGGTGCCCCACTTAGTAGCCAGTTGTGGGACTCATTGTTAACTGTTGGGGCAGGTGGTGAATGCTATATCCACTCTGCCATATCATGGCCTTACAAACAACATATTAAATATGGGTAAATAAGGCTTTTTTTCTGATCTGATCTTTATTTTTGAGTATTTCAAACTACATGTTGCATATATATCAGTTCAGCACTGACTATACTGTCTAGTCCCTACCTTGTTCCTTCTATACTAAATATAATCACGACACTTTGAAGTTACTCCCTACCACTTCATATATCTCATACAAGACTACATCATCCAGATATATAACAAAGTACACAAACTAGAGACTCTCTAAAAATAGCACATAATTTTCTAGTGAATAATTTCAGCATCTAGTTTTCATCTCTTACCATGTACAAAATGATTATTTATGTCAAAATTCACAAGATAACCATTTTCTCCAATAACAGCAATAGACAAAACATAATATTGCTTCGCTTAATTCAAAATACGTTTGCATAATGGGCAGGCCCTTAGGCACTCATGCTGGGCCTAACTGGTGTGAACGGCAAGGATCCAGTACCTGTGTATTAGGTGGTTGAAAAAAGATATTCATCTTAATTTCAGTGAAATTAAATGTATGATCTTGCCTCAACCATCCACACCACAAGCTTAACCTGGATACAACAAAGCCGCCCACATCTGCAGCCAAGGCTCTACCTCACCAGGTGGGGGGTTCCGTGGCACGCACATGCGAGTACATTAGTTGAAAAAACAAATGCCTATCACAGGAGGCAACTCTCCGACCTCAACATAGTATGTGCCAAATGCTCCAATGTGCAACGTTAACTTGTGCATAGTAAAGGGAGTTGATTCTCACCAAGTTTCAAAGATAAAATAAATTTTTGCACTTTATCTTTTTATAAGCAAAGGAATGTTTAATACCTGGCCATATAATACCATCAAGGTATTCAGTCAAAACCATTATGAAAATAATGCTATCCCATTCATGCATTCATATTGGCATTATCTAATTATTTAGACAATTCAGACAGAATATTAATGGAACAACTGCCACTGAGTGCTAAAGAATATAAAGAAATTTAATCTTTATGGTATCCTTCACAGAAGTAATTCTCATGAGATGTTACCAGTAGCAATAGTTTCATATTTCATATTCAGTCTGTGACTGGAGTCTGGCATCTGCTTATCATACAAGAGTTGGGGACAAGGACTGCAAAATAAAATACAGCTGGAGCTCAAGGGGCGGGATGTGCTAGAGGGGAGAGGAACCTGTTTAGGCGAGGAACTTGGGTTGCGACATGGCTGCTCCAGTCTTTGTCGAGACTGGGCTCTGGTAGGAATGGTTTGGAATCTGTTTCTATGTGCAGATTACTTTAGTGTAGCTAATCTGACACACAGAACCAGAGTGCCCACTGCACTGTCACTCACACTTGTTGACATCACAAAAAATAATATAATTATTTAGGCCTTTAAAACTTGGACAAGTGTGGTGGCAGACAGGAGTGACTGATGGGGGATTAACACGGGTAAGGAGGTAGAAGGGTGGATTTGGGACGGAGGCTGCGCTCCCCGCCGTCAGACTAGCATTTGACACTATCACGACTTCACAGCAGCACTTTGCTGCTTGGACCTCCTAAAAGCACCTCGCATGTTCAATATACTGTAAATCAAAAGGTAGAAGATTTCCCTATCACACTTTAATCACAAAAAGAAAAAAATCCTTTGATTGGAGAAACCTAAGAAAACATGGGCAAAATAGGTGATTGTCATAAATGCCACAACCTCTACTACATCATCTAGATGTGGATGGGTGTGGCCACTTTGCAAACAAAGTACAAATATTTAGTACATAGCTTTCCTGTAAGAAAAATGTTAGTTAAAAAAAAGAAACTAGACTAACTATCACTTGCACGAGCGAGGGCCCCAGGAGGCCTCAACATATAGGACCCACAAAACCGGGGAGCGAACCCTCTACCCTGAGGCATCATCAGGACTACATCATGAAGCATTGGAGTGTGTCTTAAGTGTACGTATAAACACCATGTTACCAAAAATGTTTTGATCTGCATACTACTAATAATAATAAAAGAAAAAATTCTTTTCACTCATAATACACTTGAAGACATCACTGAGTGACAGTCAGTGCTGGGGGTGGAGACCTATCATAGCCAGACCATGGAACAAGAGACTCCTTAGAGGGGGTAGCTTGTTATCACAAACTATTGATAATACTGATATTCCTTCAAAAGAAAGACACATGACCTTTGTTATGATTGGTCCCCAGGCACATCAACATTCATTATCACACTTCAAGGTCACCCAATGGGCCTAATCATGGCACAGATATTGGCTGCAGAATGACGTCCTCAAGAAAACATAAATAAAAGATAAATACCCAGTGAAATATATATTTTTTTTTAAATAACCTTGTCAAGATGACTTCTTAGCATATCAAATAGTAAAATTTACAGCTGAAAGTCATACAGGAAACACATCATGCTGCAACCTCCAAAACACGACCACACCAGCACTGTCTGTCTAAAGCTGCGAGGTGGCACGGGGGGTTCACATATGGCGGGGGATTTCTGATACTGGGGGAATTATAGGATGGGAGCTGCTGAGAGGCAATACCTACTTCTTAAACAAGCAGCTTGCTTGTTTTCCACAACACTTGCCGCTGAAATCACGACAAAGCTCAGAGCAACATGCATACACCTGTGCTGTTCTGTGATTTCATATAACCTGGGAACACCCCGTGTATATATATATATATATATATATATATATATATATATATATATATATATATATATATATATATATATATATATATATATATATATATATATATATATATATATATATATATATATATATATATATATATATATATATATATATGGGGCACAAAAAATTCAGTAAACACAAGATTCGTATAATATGCAAGTTACCGCTACAAAATTTAAACCCGAAAAGATCCAGGCGCTTTCATGATTAGTCACGTCTTCGGGGAATGCTGTACTGCATCCCCGAAGATGTAAATTATCACAAAAGTGCTTCGATCTTTTCATATTTCTATTTCCTAGTGGTTACCAGCAGACAGTATAAGATATATGCGAACAATCAATCGATATAATCAATTGGTGTAATAATGTGCCGCTGGTAGATATTCATACAATGCCTCCCAGCAGTTTCCCTTGTGTTTCCTGAGCTGCCTAACGAGTCACGGGCTACAGGGAATGTCTTTTCATTATTCTATCACCTGTGAGGTAGTAACTACAAATTGGGAAGCAAAAAGACTGTTGGTTTAATACCACCTATTGCATAGGACAAATATACAGAATTTCTAAAAATAAAAAATACCTCTATAAAGGAGATACAAAAAAAGCTTCTGTAAAATAAAGAGGAACTTAATATCTACCCTGATATAGTACATATGAATATCATACCTTCAATTATCACTTGTATGCACCACCAAAATTTGTGGACTTGAATAGTTGTGCAATCAATAAATTTCTTCAGCTAAGCAGAAGAATTTAGAAAGCTGTACGCAGTGAAGGCAATGCTGCGAAACTTTCTCATTCAAGAGAGAGCAGTCTCATCGCAAAATACTGCTGAACATTTTACATATTGAACAAAAAAAAAGAGGAGGCTAGCCAGTGCATACAAGGTCAATCCATTGGTAAAACAGTGTTACAGCATTGGCTTATCATTCATTTTGCACAAGTTACTGCATAATTCTGCTCTTCTTGATATCATTGCACACATACTATTGTCCCATGTTGTTTCAATCTTTTGTATGTTACACTAATCATAACATTACCCTTAATGATACTCTGTGGGCATCAAGACCAGGACTGATAGCCATTTGCTCTTATTAAAGAAAAAAGTATTTCTGACTTCTAGTAAGGCAATAAAATTCAAGAATGGGATAGACTGTGGATTAGTATGTCCTATCAAAAAATATACCTCTAGATGTAGCTGAATAACTCTGTACAGTAGTTACATGTTGAAAATTGCTGTGCAGTATCACACTATTTCAGTATACTAATGACTAAACAGTTAGTAGGGCTTCACAGCAACATGACATTTATATAGATCAGAAATATATATTTATCATGAACTCTAGAAATATTTATTGAAGAGCTCTGAGTTTCTTAAAACAATCTCACAATTTAGACTATCTTTACTGGTAAGGAAAATGGTATGAGCCATGGCCTTTATGCAACACAGAGCTCCTCAAGCAGGCGCTGCTCCACATGTGGTATCAGGTTGTCACTGGGCAGGTTCATACTCAGAAGCACATGTTTTTGTGCACGCTTCTGTAATCTCTCAGCTAACTGCGAGGCTTGATGACTCCCTGCACCAGATGGGCCCAAGAGAGTGGAGACAGCTGGTGGGCCAACACGAGACCCTAAAGCTGCCACTAATCCACCCAAATTGCCCTGCTGTGTCCCTACCCAGGCATACACACTCCCCGATAGGGTCAGCAACTGGTAGTAAATGGTACAGTCACCATGCTGGCTACTGAACTCTTGCAGACTGAGGCCTGGTACAAGTTCATCCATTCTTGCTGTTGTCGAGTAACTGTAACAACCGTACGGTACACTGCTTATGGGAAAAACTCCACCACTTCACTGCTTTCCAGTAATAACCACTTCAAAGTTGCTATTTCTAAAATGAACTACACAATCTGTACTGCAGACCTCCTTCAAGCTTGTTGGAAGAGTTGCTCAGTTCTTAAAAAGGCCAAAGCATCACCATCACAGCCAGGCCTCTTCACATCAAAAGTTCAGATTCACAGTAGTTATTTATTTGTGAGTTCATAACATTAAAAATTATTTGCATGCATAATACTTCACTTGGCTTTTTTCAAAGGCAATTGTACTTGATTTTTTTTAGTATACTGAACAACACAGATGTTCTACAGAAGCTAACTCACTCTAAGATTTGCACATTACAAACTACACTCATATAGGCAAAGTATAGGTCTCTTGGTTCTTGTGTTTACTTGTGTTTTGCGAAGTGCAGCTTGAATGATATTTGGGAAGTTAATGACTGGAGATAGGAACTTTTGCTACTTTGGGTTTGTTGTGTCTCAGATTTCACAATCGGCTTCCTTGGTCACCCCTGGAATAAAGAACACTTGGTTACCATAAAACACAACAATGGTACTGCATGACACACTCAACATACTAGGCATTCTATGAAGCTTTCTCCATAACTTGAAACATGAAAATTGTAAATACGTGTGAGAGCTGCATCAATATTATAATATTCCTTCAATTATGCTTGGCTTCCTAAATGTAGGCATATAAAACAAAAAAACTGCTGCCTGGTTTTATAAAATAAAAATGCTAGACAAACTATCATTCGCTGTGCTATACTGCAGGACAGACAACAGTTAGGCTTAGCTTAAAATATTAAACAAGACTATATTTTCCAGTAGTGCTGTAAGTAAACTCACAAAAACCAGAAAATCTTACATAAACAGTCCAGAGAAGCTCATGTCTCCGGAGATACATGTTTTCTTCTGCTGTGTTCGCATAACTATTCAGCAAATTCCATGCTACGGTAATTGATATGTAAAACCCTTTTCTGTGATATTTTTTTTTTTAATTTTGCCAGAAAATTCTTATAATTACCTTTGTGAAATCTACTACACAGCCTTTTATGTATCTAGAAGTTTTCTGAAAAAGAAAAAAAATTAATGAATATCAGCAGGCCTACTAGGAAACAGCAGCATGCAGTATAGTACTTATAAAAAATAAAAACAACTGACACAGAAAATATTAACAGAAACATGCAAAATAATTCAAGGGACAGGTCAGGAATCTACAGTCAATAATTAAATTTTGGTAGGATAGGCACCATGCTGCCATCAACTGCCACTAACACCATCACCATGCAAACTTTCTCAAAGAGAACCCATGCTGTCCTCTCTGCTTGAACCTGGATAAAATGTTACCTTCATCGCTACTATAGGCACCCTTGCCCTCACTTGGCCTTGCTGCAGAGAGGTCCAAAGCAGCTGCGGCCAGGCTGTTGGAGCTGCCTAGGAGAGATGAGGGGGGTGCCTTGAGGGCTGAGGGGGTCTTGGATAGGTGGGAGTTAGCAGTAGAAGAGGCTGTAGAGGTAGGCACAGCTGACAGCTGACCAGAGTTCAACAGGGACAGCAGATTGATGTTCATGCCCAGATTATTCAAGGGGTTTGAGGGTATGTGGCTCTGGTGATCACTTAAACCAACATGAGCTCCACTGCTGCTAACAGACACACTGTTACCATTGGCTTGTGAACTCGCACTCTGGTAAATGTTCTTCATTGTTTCTACATAGTAGTTCCTTGCTGCCTCTGAATACACAGATTTCATTATGTCAGGGTTGGTCAACATGGTCTGCATTAAGGTTTGATTCATGGCAGCTATCATCAAAGGATTAAGTGGATTCAAGGGACTTAACATATTCATCATGCCAGCATTGGGATTTTGTTGCTGATGCTTTTGGTGTTGTTCAATTTGTTTTTGCTGGTGTTCCATCTGCTCACGCTGCTGCTTTTGTAATTTCTCCAACTCCTTCTCCCTAAGAACCTGTAATTCTTTTTCTCTCTGTTGCTGGAGTTCCCGTTCCCGTTCTTTTTCGGCTAACTTACGCTCCTCATATTCCTTCATATCCTTAATATATCTTTGGCGATCCTGCTCAGAAAGCTCAACAAACTTTTGCTTTTCCACATCACCCATGTTTCGCCACAATTCCCCTGCTCTTTTGCCAAAATCTGCAAACTGTGGAAATTCTTTTCCTTCTTCCATTAGTTTTCGCTTAAAATATGCACAAAAATGCATAAAAGGTGTACAAGCCTTTTTGGGCATGTCTGGTTGCCTGCGCCTCTTCTTCTTACGTCTTCGTGTAGGCCCCGGAAGTGCAACTGCCTGAGGAGCCATCCGTCCAGCAGATGGACCCTGTAGCAATGCCTCGTAAGATCGAATCATGCTGCCATTCTGTCTAGCCTGAGCAGCAGCTGCCAGGCTCCCTAGGCCCCCTAGACCCCCAGGACACCCCCCAAGACCTCCAGCACTGCCACTTGCCAGCAGTTTGAGCAGGTCCGTCTGTGATGGGGCACCACTCGTCCCATTCTCTCCACTGTAACAGCCAGAATAACAACTAACAACCACTGCACACTTCAGTCTTACAGCTTTTATACTCACCAGCTCTAACAGTATCCATACTAGAACTTGATAACAAAATCCTTTTACCCTTAAAAATTCTGGAATTAATTTTAAAGCTTATGAACCCCTTAATCAAGTGTCTTTGAGCCAGGGAGAATTCTCAGCTTCATCCACTCCGTACTCACCAATATATGTAGTGTTGTTCAGTGCAGAGAGGAGTGAATTATATACAAATAGTGCAAAGTACCAAAGATTGTGGAAACATGGAAAATGTCATGATGCTAAGCTTATCACAAGCTTGTGCCTACGATGGAAAATATCTCCATTCCTAAACCCTTGCAAAGTACATTGAAATAAGAAGTAAACATGGCAAATTCAAAGCAAGATTAAACATTAATATTTTTTAAAAAGCAATCCAACTGACAATAAAATGGAATCGAAAATATGAATTTTATGAGAAATCCTGACCCATCCCCTAGAAGTACCTTTTTGATATGCTGTTAGATCTCCAAACAGCAATGCTCAAAGGGATCAGATTTAAAATACTTAAGATAAACCAGAGAAAAATGTTAAGTTATTAGTGGAATCCAAAAAAACATATATGAGCCAAAGAAGCTACAAACCCTTTTGCAAAAAACACACCGTGCATCAAATGTCAGTAAACAGAGCAGTCAAAACATCTGGCCAAATATGGTAAAATAAACAGCACTGGATAAACCATTTCTTAAGTTACTGCCTGTGGCATGAAAGCAATGCACTGCCAGGATTAAAAATTAAGGTTTCAATTTATACCAATTCTTAAAATGGTTGACCCAGGCAAAAAAAATGGGAAAGACAAGAAATTCCCTTCCATGGTGCAAAAAAAATAATAATGGAAAAAAAAAAGTCAAGTTCACAGAAACTGATCAAGTCAGGTTCTCTCACTCAGCCAGTTACATACCAGTATCTCGCAACCTGTTCCTTTGGCACATGAAGGAGAACAAACACATCAGATAAATGATGTAGGGAAGGTCCTAACATTAACTTACTTTCTCAATAACTTACAAACAAGATTGATTTTCTCTTTCATGATCAACAATATATAAACATGATGTAGCTATGGTTTAAATGCTGGTTATTCATCTACTAATTATATGCATGTAAATAATTAATCCTAGCAAGAATAAAGGGAGAAGAAAAAGTAAATAAGACTCCTAGTTGTTTGATAACAAGAATAAATAGAAAATAAAATATAAGACACATGATAAAATATTCTATCGCGTATATAAATGAAAAGTTACCCTTAGGGCCAATTCTCCAAGTATCTTAGCTTGGGTAATCAGTCTTAAGCAGTTTCCGAGTAAAAGGGCAATTATTATATAACTTACATAATTACTGAGAGCAAAAGTAGCAAAACCTTATAAGAACTTACCCATTGACAGCCTTGCCCAACTTCTCAACAACCAGGTCATCCATGTATGTTCATATGTCAAAGCAGCTGGACTTAATGCACCTGTCAAGAAGAAAATGAAGCTTTAATACTATGTACTGTACTTACGTGTGGGGACTCTCAGCATCATGGCTTCCCTTATACAGTACTGTATTTTAAAATCGACAACACAGTAAGGAAGGAGTTGTGTGATGAAGCACCTTAAAGAGGGAGGGACTGTAGAGCAACATAAGAGATTTCACTCTGTAATCACTTGGTTTCTTTTATGCTTCCCACCCCAACCACTTCACAAAACAAAGCACACATAATTGCTCGTTCACTCCCCTCTGCTTACATCCTGAGAATACTGATCGTAATCTGTGTATATAGTATCTACACTTTAAACAAAGGGAGCAGTTTTAATGCATCTGTTAAGCATAAAGAGATACATTATTATCATACTGTAGACAAAACCCTGTATGCACAAACAAGCAATCTGTACATACAAAATTTATATTTACTGTACATGGCATTTATGAATAAAAATAAAAGTGTACAGTATACTGTATATGCTATCACTGCACACAAAGGGAAACTTTAATGATTTACACTGCTCAAAACTACTAAGTACAGTGCAGTATTATAAACATGAAAAGAAATAAAGAAAGACATGGAACTCAACAACAAATGCGTCATCAAAAGCTGGGTCCTGATCACCACCCCTACTTCACAACCGCAGCCCAAATGAAAGACCCACAAGTGGAGCTGACAATAGAAAGCATCAGTCTCCCCTGCTTAACACCCTCCCCTCACTCCCCCAGCCCCCCACAGTCCCTTCTGCCACCCCTCTCCACTTCTGCCTCCCTTCCTCTCTCCCCACTGCGCCGGGCCCTCTCATCCCCCCACCCCACTTTTTTGTGTAGAGAAACAAAGACAGCAAGCTCAGACGTCCCCGACTCTGAGCCTGCAATATTGATCACTCTGATGCTTAATCACACGCTGCATGGGTACGACGTGAGGGCTTGGAGAAGCAGCCAATGCTTCACTGCACAGGCATTGTGATTATGGGAATTATGATTACCATATAAAAATATTGACACCAATTAAGATTTAGTGCAATTTACTCCATAAACCTCATTTGTGAAGTATCCCTTCCCTGCTGTACTTTAAAGATGAAATGACGGTAGGAGACAAAGCATGACTGTAATGATTTTCATACAAGTTATTTAGTCTTTCTTATTAAAGCTTTTATTCACACACAATAGCTCTGTGAATGTATTCTACTAATGAAAATTAAAAATTTCCAAGAATTAAAACCACACAATTGTTATATTAATGTCATATCTTAAATGAAGAACTGCCAACCAAATACAATATTAACTTGCTCTGCAGATGTGTCCTCTTGCATTTTGAAAATAAAATAAATAAACTATGCCAACAGGAAGAACTTCAATTATCCTCAGTTTAATATCAAAGTTTTATCCTTCATTGTGAAAGCAAAAAGATGAAAGCAATATTCAATACAAATATGAAATGCAACTTATGTTTGTGTTGAATGGGTTCTATTTCCACAATGAAAAGATGAAACTTTGATACGAAACTTCACATTGTAAACATTAGTATCCTCATAGAGAGAAAACAATTTGAGTTTAATTGAGGCCCCTGTTGGCCTAGTCCATCTTAAAATTCCAGGAGGACTGGTGCAGTAAAACACAGCCCTCATGAATCCTATTCTATGGAAGGGATTTCCAATCCAAGAAGCAAACAACATTAACAAAACATACTGACAAGTTTCTTTAATTAAGTCAACTAAATATGGCATAAATTAAAGCTTAACTTGGCAGTAGCTATGTCCCTAATTTCAGATATCAGCCAGAGGAAAAAGAAGTTACTGAAAGCCATCCATTTTGGTCTCATCCCAGTGACACAGTACAGTATGCTGAAAATAAAATTCTGCCTCCATTAACAAATATTTGGTAACTTCTACTACAATACAGCACAGTATAACCATCTAAAGACCTATTAATATTAGGGATACACATTACTGTACTGTGCTAAACTGGTGATTTTTGTTCTTTAATGATTGTGGTGAATGTCTGGTGCAAGATATTAGCGAGATACAATACAGTATTTTATTTAATACAGTACAGTATTGTATATAGTACATGGTGAAATACAGTACAAATACAGTATGGCATGGTATATTCAATCTTGTACATTTTCCATAAAAATCAATGGATGCTTTCTCTTTCAGTCGTACATGTACTGAAACAATACAGTCAACCCTCGCTTTACGCGGTCCCACTTTACGCGTTTACGCGGTACCCTGCCAAAACCGGAATGCTCACTTTCCGTGGTGTGTGTACCCCTTTATGCGGAGAGTGGCTGGCGAGCCGTGCCATTTTTGGATCCAAACCTCCCGCCATCCGCCATGTTGTGTAAGCGGCGCGAGAAGGTTGCGCAGTGTGTGTCTTTGTTGCGTTATCAGTGACGTCATATGACGTATCGGACTGTAATTGGGCCATGCATCCTTACCTCCCTCCGCTGCTAGCTGTGATTGGTTTAAAGTAATATGACGTGTCCACCCGCGGGAGGGAGGGAGGAAAGACGACGCTTGACCTAGCCGCGGCAGTTTCATCCCTCCAGGCCACACCGTGTATACGTGATTCCATTGTTCTGTAAAATGGCTTCCGCCGGACCACCGCCCCCAGAGAGAAACCTTTCCTTACCTGGACCCAGCCGCCCTAAGCCAAAGAAGACACGACGTTCCTTAAGCTACGAAATTAAGTATAAGATCATACAAGAGTTGGAGAAAGGAACAAGACAGGTTGATCTCGCGCGCCAGCATGGTGTTAACGAGTCTACGATCAGGACAATTAAGAAGGATGCAGCCAAGATAAAGGAGCACATGAACATCACAAAGTCTACAGGTGCTTCTATGATCAAGTATTGCCACAACCAGGTGCTTCTCAAGACAGAAAAATTACTTGTGAGCTACTTGGTGCGTCAGGCGCGACGGAACATGGCGGTGGACAAGCGCTCAGTTAAGGAGTACACACGTGAACTGTATGCTGCAGTGTCACGAAAGATGGGAATTACAGAGCCCAAACCCTTTAATGCTTCCTCTGGGTGGTTACAGAGGTTTAAGAAGAGAAACAAGATCACCAATATCAACATTGGTGGTGAAGAAGCTAGTGCTGACCGTGTTGCGGCTAGGGAATTTCCTCCGTTTTTACGTGAGATTATGGAGGAATGACAGTACACCGACGACCAGGTGTTTAACATGGACGAATCTGGTCTTTTTTGGAAAAAAATACCTTCCAAGACCTTCGTTGTGAAGAATGCCAGCAAGTGTCGGGGCCTGAAGTTGCAGAAGGAGCGCATCACCGTCCTGTTTACCACCAATGCCTCCGGTACCTGTAAGCTCAAGTTATCGGTGATCCACACAGCACGCAAGCCGCACGCCTACAAGAGCATGGACATGACCAAGCTAAATGTCCACTGGCTGACCGCACGTAAGGCGTGGATGTTCTCTACACTGTCCCTCTCCTGGTTTGATGACTGTTTCGTTCCCGATGCGAAGAAATTCTCTGAGCAACAGAATGTGCCATTCAAGATTTTGTTGCTGCTGGACAACGCACCAGGACACTCGCCCCTACTGTTAGATCGTCACCCCAATGTAAAAGTGGTCTTCCTTCCTCCCAACACTACGTCTATATTGCAGCCCATGGACCAAGAGTTAATCTGTAATGTAAAAGCTGCATTCTTTACTAAAAAATTCAAGCTCCCGAACGACTACACCAACACCAAGGAAGAGTTGCGTAACCTGAGTGACACCAACACCGATAGCAAGAGCGAAGACGACGAGGATCAACAGTTGGCAGAGCAAGAAGTACTTTTAAAACAATTCTGGAGAACATTCAACGACAAGAAAGCTGTGGACTTCTTGGTGGAGGCATGGGATCAGCTGTCTGTAGCAACTGTTCGTCACGCATGGAGACATGTGTTGCAAGGCATTCCGGCCGTTAGGCAGAGTCAATCTGTGACTGGTGAGGTTCAGACTGTTGCAGTAGCAGTGGACCTTGCCAGAGAAGCTGCGCAGAGTGTTACAGCTGCAGGCTTCTCCGAGACCACGAACGACGACGTCCTGGAGGTGATAAGGGATCCTGATGTGACTAACGACGAGATGGTAGATGATGATGACGTCAGTGAAGAGGCAGGTGGTGCGTCATCCCAAGAAGAACGCCGCTTATCTCATAGTAATGTTAGGTGTGCCATCGAGTGTATCGAGAAAGCCAAGCTCCTCCTTTCCGACGACCCTGACGCAAACAGGTATGAAATCTTCACTACCCAGCTGTTGCAGACTATGGCGCCCTACATCAAGGTTTATCACGACAACATAAACACGAGCCGTCAGCAAAGTATAACAGAGTTCTTCGCCCGCAACCCACCACAGCCAGCCCAAGCCATTGATAGTGACAGAGGCAGAGACAGTGATGATGACTTTGAGGGATTTGTCAGGGAGGCACTAGTAAGTGTGGATGACACCGATGAAGACTCACCTGAGGGCCAGTAGCCTGCCCTCTGCCTCGGAACCAGCCTCCATTCCCCTAAGCCGACCCATCTCTTCTACTAACATAAGTGTTAACCCCAGACTTGTTTTCTTCTAACCTAACCTTCATTTTATTCTTCTCTTATTAACTGTTCCCTTCTATATTATGTGTGGGTGAATACCATCATAAAGTTAAGAGGTTATTTTTAGTAAAACGTACGTATTGTGTCGGGAAAAAGTGGAGTTTGGGGGTCGGCCCGGTCTCTATTTCAATTAATCCCATATGTTATGTTGTTCACTTTACGCGGGCCGCCGTGGGTTGAATTAACCTCGTAAAGTGTGGGTTCACTGTATACAATAAGTACTGTACTTATTCCCTTGGAGGTTTGGCAGACATTTTTGAAATTATTATGGTGAAAGTTATTCAAAGAAAATATTTTTGTACTGTATAGTGCAATACATTTTTTTCATTGAATTTTTCTGACCAAGATACAATACTGATACAGTGCCTGTATACCTGTACAGTACTTGG